GTAGCCATAGCTAAGTTTCCCGTGTTCTGGTAAATAACCCTCACCCTTATACTTATGCAAGCAACTCTAACTAAATTTGGCAGGACACACACACACACGGAAAGACTTCAAAGCAGGAGGAGACTGGCTGGGCAGAAGGGGTTCAGTGTGACAGGGAAAGGAATGAGAGATGGCCCTGCGTGCTCCAAGAAAGCCGAGCAAACCACGGAGGGGAATGAGAGGGGTGGGGTGGCGTAGGGGATGGTCAAAATTCAGTGTTTTCACGTATGAAATTGTCAAAGAACAGTTTTAAAAGATCATCCGGGAAATAAATAAAACTTTTGAAATGAAAAACAGAAGTAGACGGGCGGTGGTGTGCACATCTTTAGTCCCAGCACTCAGGGAGGCAGGGGCAGGCGGATCTCTGTGAGTTCCTGGTCTACAGAGCGAGTCCAGGCCAGTCAAGGCTACACAAAGAAACCCTCTCTCATAAAACCAACCAAACAACCAAACAACCAAGCAAACAAACAAAACTATAGGAATCCAAAAGTCTGGAACAAATGTCCACGCTCCTCTTGGGTTTCTGTTGTTGTGATACAGAACATGGCCCACATCAGCTTGAGGAGGAAAGGGTTTATTTCATCTTATGCTTCCAGGTTCCACACCATCCCAGAGGGAAGTCAGGACAGGCACTTAAGGCAGGAACCTGAAGGCAGGAACTAAAGGAGAGGCCATGGAGGGACGATGCTTACCGGCTTGGTCCTCATGGCTTGCTCCCCATCCTCCTCTGACCTTCACGTACACGCAATGGCCCCACACTAAATAAGTAAATGGCAAATGTGGTAAACATGCAGTGTTTGCTTGTCTGCGCTTGGTGTGTCTTGTCAAGCATAATGATTCTCAGTTCCACCCACTTTCCTGCAAATGTCGTGATATTGTTTTTTCTTCTGGCTGAATAGAATTCCACTGTATATAAACGCACCACATTTTCTTCATCCTCACGAGGTGACGGACACCTAAGCTGGCTCCCCTATTGCCTTATGTGAACTGTGCACCAGTAAAATACGGATGTGCAAGCATCTCTGTGATGAGCTGATTGAGGACTCCTCTAGGAAAAAAATTCCCCGGGAGGGGGAGAGTTGGGTCACGTGGCACCATGGACCGGTGAGACTCCATTTTTTTGATTCTTTTGTGTATATGCATGGGAGAGGATTGTTAGACTGCATGATGGCTTTTACTTACTGAGAAATCTCAAAGTAGTCGTCCATGATGACTGCACCATTTCAGCTTCCATGAGCAAAGTGCGGGGTCTCTGATTTCTCCACCTTCTCACTAGACTTGTGATTTTCCTTTGTTTCTGTTGGTCTTAATTCCGGTCATTCCAGGGAAGGTGACATAATATCTCGATGTGGCTTGACTCTTCACCCCCTGGTGGCCAGTTACGTTGAGAATCTCTTTCTGCATTTATCTGGACATTTATACACGTTCTTTAAAGAAAGTTCTATTCCAGTCCTCTGTCCATTTTGTTTTTAAGTTGGTAAGAGTCTTATGTTTTCCTGAGTATTTTTGAACGTTTGTTTTTCTAACTGGAACTTCGTCAAGCATGGCTGGACACTTAAGAAAATTATACTTGTATGTATGTATGTATCAGGGCACTATATACATGCAGATATCAGAGAAATATTTCCAGGAGAAATATTTCCAGTTCTTTCCTTTTACCATGTGGCTCCTGGTGATAAAACACAGGTCTTCAGGCTTGGCAGCAAGAACCATCTTGCTTGCCAAAGTTAGTAACCTTTATGGAGCTTTAAAAAAGTATCAGCAGAGGATGTAACTCAGTGGTAGAGCATTTGCACACACACAGGGCAATAACGCATACACATGCTTGTACACACACACACACACACACACCTCACTGAAGCAAGTCTAATAGGTTCTTCAGAAGAATTCCCTAAACAACCAAACAGATGGCATGTGTACTGTGGAGTTGGTGTAACCCCCATTTGCATGCATGAAGCAGGAGTGGCTCCTGGCACTGGGTTCGCCCGGCACTTGGGGATGATTGTGCATATAGGCTTATCGTTAACTCGAGTGACTTGAGCACAGCACTGACTCAGAGAGCAAGGCTGGAGACCCCTTTCTGACCCTGCTGGGGGTCACTGCTGCCCCAACATCAGGGACGCATTCCTTCCTGGGTTCAGCCTAACTCCCAGCGCTGGCCTGGAACATTGCTGGGCTTTGTGGGAGAGGAGGTAGCTTCCCACACTCTTCAGTCCTTGGGGGGCATCTGAAAGGGAATCAAGCATCTTTCTGTCAGTGATTTAGTCTGAAAGAGAAGCAAGCATTTTTAGATCAATATTTTCAAGTCTCTTCGGAGTTAAGCCTCTGTCTCAGGCCAGAAACTAATAGACTCTTTCTTCCTCCCAAATGGATATGAACTTGAGCCTTTGTAATAAAATTCCTGCACCTTCTCCCTCTGAAAATATGTATATATGTGAATATGGTGATAGTGGATACCCAGGGTATTCTTTTTTTTTTTTTTTTTTTTTTTTTTTTTTCAGAATTGAGGATTGAACCCAGGGCCACACAGTTGCTAAGTAGCACTCTCTTATTTCAGAGCTACAGCGGCCACTCTGCTTTTACTTTACAAAAATAAAAATCAAATAAAGTATGCACATACATCTGTGTACACCTGTACGTGTGTGCGTGTGTATGTGTGCTTGCATGTGCTTGTATGCACTCAAGCCTGTGCATGCGTGTTACAGGCACATGTGTCCATGCTTAGCAATTTTTTGTGAATGTTAGGGATTAGAACTCAGGTCCCCACTTTTGCACTGCAAATAAGAGTACTTGCTCACTGGGCCACCTCTCCAGCCCCCTGCTTTTAAATCTTGGAACAGTGTCTAAGTTGCCCAGCCAGCCTGGAACCCACTCTGTTAAAAGATCAAGCCTTGAACTCTTAACCCCCCACCCCCCGCCCCAGCCTCCTGAGTGGCTGGAATGACAGGCCTGCCACACCAGGCTAGGTTGGGTCTGTGGCTTTATGAGTAGAACAGGAGAGCACCGAGTGGGGATGCTCTGTTGGACTTGTCATGTGATGCCCTGGACTATGTAGGACTCTGCAGAGACCTCATCATCAAGGACACTCTAGATGAAGCCACCTGATCTTCCACTTCCCAGTCAAGAGCTGAATGACCCCTTTGTCCTTTCTTTTTTCTTTCATATATATATATATATATATATATATATATATATATATACATAGATATATAAATATATATATTTGGTCTTTTGAGATAGGATTTCTCTGTGTAACAGCTGCCTGGCTGTCCTTGAACTCACTCTGTAGACCGGGGTGTCCTTGAACTCACAAAGATCCGCCTGCCTCTGCTTCCCAAGTGCTGGGGTTAAAACTGTCTGGCTCCTTTTATATTTTTTGAGTCAGGAGCTCACTCTGTTGTCCAAGCTGGCTCAGAACTCACAATGTAGCTCAGGATAGCTCCTAACTCTGGATAGTGTTCTCATGCCTATTTTCCATGTGCTGGGGCTCCAGGTATGCACCTGCAGCCAGACTCTTGGCTGCTTTATTGGGTTCTTTTTCCTACCTCCCTACACCACCCCTATCCCTTCCGCCCCACTCAACAATGCGTAGGAGAGAAAGAAGGTTAGAGGGGGAAAGGGCCATTGATATAGTTAAACTACTTCCTGCTGATTAGGGGCATCAAGTTCCTTGGGGTGAGTTTGATATTCGTTGTTAGAATATCTTCAATCAGCAATCCAGCAACCAGCAACACATCAACCAAGAGCAGCAGGGGCAGCAGCAGCCACAGGGGGAGCAGCAGCCATCGCCTCTCTTGGGTCTCTGGCTTTACATACTCTCTGAAGAGTTCCCAGAATCCCAAATGTAAAATATCTTCAGCTGGTGGCAAAATCATTTCCCCTGCTAGAACATGAGACAAATCATAGTCAGCTGCTGTGGACAATCAGAAGCAGCCCCATATCCCACACCTGGGATTAAAACAGAACGTATTCCCATAACATTTTTGTGTTTTTAAAGAAAAAAAAAATTCACACTACATGCACAACTTCATCCATTAATTAACTAATTAACTAATAACTTATCTTTGGGACTAGGTTCTCACTATGTACATGGTTGGCTTGGAACTTCATGTATAAAACAGGCTGGCTGTGAACTCACAGAGATCTACCTGTCTCTGCTAGGATTAGGGGTGCGTGACACCCCACCTACATTTGTCCTTTTTTTTTAAAAAATCATTTTACATTTTTGATGTGTGTGGGTGTTTTGCCTGCAGGCACCACAAGCATGCCTAGGTTGCCCCAAGGCGAGGAGAAGGCACTGGGCCCCTGATGACTAAAGCTACAGAGAGCTGTGAACCATGGTGCTGGGAATGGAACATGGGCCTTCCGGCTGAGCCATCTCTGCAGCCCTAAACCCTTTCTCTTCGTAAATGACTCAGTCTGTGGTGCTCCCTTACAGCTGTAGAAGGACTCAAGAGTAGCCACTTACTCATGCCTAGTTTCCTGCCTCAGCCTCTTAAGGGAGCTCGAGGGAGTAGTTCCGAGCCTTTTGTTTCAGCTGCCCCAAGTACTGGAGCCCGGACTTCCCCAGTATCACCCCCTCCTGCCCAGGGGCACATCACCATTCCTCCACCCCCTCCCTGCCCCCCTTCCAGTCCCCAGAAGAATGTCTTCGTCCAGCCCAGTGGGACATGAACAAGAATTGAGTGAGCATCATTTGGCCGTCGAGGAGGTGGGCTTGTGTCTAGGGCAGGTTGGGAGAAAAAAAATAAAATAAAATAACTGGCTCGCACAGGAGCGAGGAAGGCGGGGCCCTGGTGTCTCCCAGCCTCAGGCGACCTCAATCTCAGGGCTGAAACGACCGGTTGTTCTCAGCCTTCCCCTCTGACCTGCTACCCCGGGCATTGTTTTCTGTTCTCCCGGGTTGTAGGTGGCAGGCGAAGAACGCCCGGGTTCTGGCTGCTCTCCAGGCCCGTGACCTTCGGCCCCGGGGCCACTGGGCGGCCGTGCCTCCTGGCCGGGTGGAGAGGACGCCTGGTTCCCCAGGCTGCTCGCCTCCTCCTGGGGCTCTGCCATGGGCTCGCGCAGCTCCCACGCCGCGCTCATTCCGGACGTGGACCTCATTCGCAGGGAGACTGGCTGTGAGTGTCCGGGTTGGGGTGGAGGGGGGGCAGCCCAGCAGCCCGTGGGCGGGCACAGGAGAGGTCTAGAGTAGTGTAGGGGGTCCCCAGAATGGAGGCTGATTGTCCCAGACAGCAGAGACTTAATAGGGCTTGGGGTCCGGGAATTCGCGCATCTGGAGCTGGGAAACCGGGACCCAGGCGAACCGGGATCGCAGGTTCGAGGCGGCTCGGGGTGATGGACCAGATTCACTTAGGCGTCCTCGAGCTCGGATGGAGGCTGCAGGGGGCTGACTTCGATGCCCGGGCTCTGGGAATGTCCTGGGTTCTCCAACCCAGTGTTTCCTCGAGTCAAGCTCCCTCCTGCCTGGAGGACCCCGCACCTGGTCCTGCACGGCTGACGACTCCCCCTCCCTGTATCCCTACCGGGCAGCCTCTTCCGTATGACTGAAGCCTCGCTGAGGTGGGGCCTGGGGGAGAGGGAGGTGGAGGACCCCGTCACATCGGTGTATGGAAGGGGAGGATATAGATGAGAATAGCCCTGTCGCTTCCCTGCCCGCGTGCCCTGGGCCGGGGGGGGGGGGTTTGCAGCGCACCCCCAATGCACACAGGATCTGGCGGTAAGGACGTGGAAGTTTTGTTGGCTCACCCCGCCCCGCCTCCTTCTCTCCCGCAGTCTCCCAAGCCAGCCTGCTCCGCCTCTACCACCGCTTCCAGGCCCTGGACAAGGAGGAAAAGGGCTTCTTGAGGTGAGCAGAACAGATGCAAGACCCTTTGCCTCTGTTTTTCTGGCCCCACCCCTCTCCCTGACGCCCCCCTCCACTTCTCGCCTTTGCCTCCCTCCTTTGTCTTCACAGCCGCCGGGACCTCCAGCAGATCGGGGAGCTGGCTGTGAACCCTCTGGGAGATCGCATTATAGACAGCTTCTTCCCCAACAAGTGAGTCCGTTGCCTGGGCTGCCTGGCCAAGGGGAGCCGGACGCGGGTGGGAAGCGAGCTACAGGTGTTGGCAGTCTGGGTGACCACTGTCCCTCTCCATTCCTGTCCCCTACAGGAGTCAGAGGCTGGACTTCGCCGGCTTTGCCAGGGTCCTGGCTTATTTTCGACCTATAAATGAGGAAGATGCAACAATCCGAGACCCCAAGCAACCTGAACCCCTAAACAGCAGAATGAACAAACTGCGCTGTGAGTGAGTGTGTGTGTGAGACCTGCTCAAGTGAGACCCCCCAACCCCAGATTTACCCACACCAGAGAGAGGCCCAGGAGCCTCTCATTCCCTTGTGAGCCTGATGAGGATTTAAAATTAGCTCAGGGAGCCTCACCTTCCTAGTCCCTTCTCTTGCCCCAGTTGCATTTCAGCTCTACGATCTGGATCGGGATGGGAAGATCTCCAGGAATGAGATGCTACAGGTCAGAAGAACTCGGGGTGCATCAGACGTGGTGTGGGCGGGGCAGGCGGCGGGATAGTTAAATGGAGGAAGGGGCTGGGGGCCTGGGGTTGCAGATGATGGGGGTTAGGTTAAGACACGGGGATGGATGGGGTTGGGTGTGGGTTAGTTAGGAGAAAGGGTGGGAAAAAGCAGGTATGAGATTGGGATTAGGGCCTCTTGAGTGAACATCTGCTAACACCCGGAGACATTTGGTTTGGTTACGAGACATCACACAACTGGTGTTTATTGGAGAATGTCGCTGTACACACCAAAACACCTAGGACAGCCTTCTACACCAAGGAGTTATCTAGGTCCAAATGTCAGTAGTGCCACGACTTGGGGGGTGGGGAGCTGATGAAGTTAGAGTGTAGGGTGAGGGGGGGTGGAGTGAGGATGGATGGCAATCAGGTCGGAAGGTTTAGGTGCAGGTGAGCAGTGTTGGAGGGTGAGACAGAGAATCATATGGAACAGTGAAATAGTGTGTGTGTGTGTGTGTGTGTGTATGTGTGGTGTTTGCTAGAGGCTACAGGGGAAATTGAGTTTGATGGTAAAGAGTAAGAAAAGCGAGGTGGGCCAGGGCTGGGGCTGGTGGAGCCCTCTCTGACTGCCTCTTGTCTCGTCTCCCAGGTACTCCGACTGATGGTCGGGGTCCAGGTGACAGATGAGCAGTTGGAGAGCATCACAGACCGCACAGTGCAGGAAGCGGATGAAGATGGTGACGGGGCTGTGTCCTTCCTGGAGTTCACCAAGGTTAGGAGGAGTTGAGGTCAGGTGCTTTTAGGATAGAAGGGCCTGGGAAATACAATTCACTGGAGAATGGGCAAGGCCTGAGGGATTCTGGGAGATGCTAGGACTCCAGGGGAGGAGGTGAGAGGCCTAGGGTTGAGATTTCAGCCTCCTGACTTGACCTTACCCATCTCTCCCCAGTCCTTAGAGAAGATGAACATCGAGCAGAAAATGAGCATCCGGATCCTGAAGTGACCCCTGTGCCTTTGGCTCATGTGGGATCTCATAAGCTATATTTTGCTATGAAACTTTGTTTAGAACCAGGAAAGGAGTTGGAGGGCTGTGTGCTGAAGTCTCATTTGGTCTCAGATTTGTGAGACCAGGCAGTGATTTGCCTGTAAGTGGCTGAAACCCAATCCAAGTGATATGAGTAAAAACCTAAATAAAATAAAATAAAATAAGTTGCATGGCGCATGTAATTAGACAGCCCAGAGGTTTAGGCACAGCTGGAGCCAAGGACAAAAATAATGTCATCAGGACTGAGTTTTCTCACCCGTGTTTCTCAGCTCAGCTACCTTCTTGCATTCTTTCCTTGTGGTAGAATGGGCCACCAGCACCCCAGATCACATCCTCACAGCCCACTAACCCAGAGGGAAGAGACGTCTTACTCCGAGAAGGCCAACCAAGCAGCATCATTGACTCAGCTGGGGTCTTTTCTCTATCTCCAGGGAAATGGAGCGTTCTAGTTGGTTATGCCTGTGTCACATAATAATTCTGAAACCTTGAAGTCAGGCCTGAAGACTTAGGATGGAGTGAGAGGCGGAAGATGAAGTAATGATATCTGAAAAGTGTGCGTGCATGCATGTACACATGTCCTATGCCCGTGCTGGTTTTGTTCAGGCAACATGAACGACACATCTTACTGCTTGGTTGAGCAAACTGAGGGAACCTTGAAAGGTGGCCTCTAGAATGGGTTTTTCTCTGACCCCCAGGATGAAAGATAATGCGATGGGGTTGGTAGTGACGGGGGGGGGGGGGGAGGAAGATGTACAAATAACAAACCATACATACTTTCCAAAAGTGTGTAGTTACTCCAAGTTCTGTGAAATGATTCTGTTGTATTCATGGTAAGATTCTCAAACGTTGACAGACGGCAGAATAGAATATAAAATCACACTGAGGCAGATTAGAAAGACAGGAGAAAGACTGAAGAGACATGAGAAGATTGGCTGAAGTCTCTCAAAAACTGAGCCAAGAGTTGTAGCAATGAGCTCGCGTGTGTGTGCGTGTGCGTGTGTGTGTGTGTGTGTGTATGTGCACATGCACTCGCAGTGGAATTCTCCTGTTCAGAGATTATTGCTTTTATATAGAGATATTTCAAACAACGATGTTAAAATAGGGGCTAGAAATATAGAGCAACCAGTAAGAGCACTCACCACTCTTTCGGAGGACCCAGGTTCAGTTCCTAGCACCCACGCTGGAGGGCTCAGAACAGCCTGTTACTCAAGTTTCAGGAAATCTAATGCCCTCTTCCGGCCTTCACAGGTTCTGCATATGTGTTATACAGACAGACAAGCGGCCACAAACACACATAAATAAAAAAAAAATTAAAAAGTTAAAATAGCAACAAAATATGCTTAAGACCTGAGCCTGTGTGACCTTCCATTATCATCATACTCTTTCCCAGAAGCCCCCTGGGAGACTGTAAACCTTTGCTCATGGTAATTACATGCCAACTGTATAACTTCCTGTATAACTCCTGGAACTTAAGGTTTTTACTCGATCATCTGTAACCCTATCCCATGTACCTCAGGAGCCACCCTATGATCTCATTTAAATGCCTTGTAAACCTTTTATGACGTACCTTTCGAGTCACCAAAGTGGCTGTGATAGAGAGGCCTACTCAAGCACACACCCACTTCTGCCTGATTACCCTTACCCTGAATGACTCCTCAGGACTCTGATACATCCTCCCACCTCCTGCTTAAACCTGTGGGTTTTTGTTTTGGTTGTGTGTGTGTGTGTTTTAATCTCTTCCAAAGGGGCTAGAACAACGGCTCAGTGACTAAGAGCGTGTGCTTCTCTTGCAGAGGATCTGGGTTCAGTTCCCAACACCGACAGCGTGGCTCACAGCAACTTGTAACCCCACTTTCAGAGGATCCCACACTCTGGCAGCCAGCACGGGCGCAAAGCACGCATGTGATGAATTCATAAACAGGCAGGAACTCACTCATACAGATAAAGGAAATAAACCTTAAAAAAAAAAAATCTCTTCCCCAAACTCCAATTCTGCTTTGTATTGGCGTATTCTGAAATTCCTCCCTGTAGGAAAGCCACTTAAAATGTATATATTTGAATTTCAAAGGAAATTACCTGTCCTAGAAATGAAAAAAAAAAAAAAACAAAACAAAACAAACAAACAAACAAAAAAACCCCCATCAGTTGAGAGAGGTTTTTCCAGAGGAAAGTGGAAGGGCACTGGAACTGTCTCAGGTATTCCCCTGGCGTGGCTGAGAGAAGTGTGGCTGCTCTGGAATTACCCAGAAGAACCTAAGTGCACAGCCTGAAGAGGAGATCTCCAATCCTCCTGCCTCAACTTCTTTTGTATTAGATTACAGGCCTTTGTCAGTTCTTAAGAGGCGACAGTCTCGTCCACAGTGAGGACTATAAAATTAGCATGATTTAGTTAAAGTGCGTTAGAGGTTCAGACTCTGCAAGCTACTTAAGGAAAGGAGAGTTTATTGGGCCTCACAGCTTGAGGGTGTAGTTCATCACGGTGGGGGTGTCATGGGGCTGGGAGCCTGAGGCAGCTGCTCACACTGAATCTGCAGTCAGGGAGCAGGGAGAGATGAATTTTGTGTTCAGCTTGTTTTCTATTGTTTTGTTCATTGGGGGTGGGGATGAGTGAGGGGGAGTCTTCGAATCTCAGTTAACCTAATGTAGATAACCGATGACAGGTATGCCCAGAGATTTGTTTCCCTAGTGATTCCAAATCCCATCAGCCAAGACTAGCCATTTAAGCCCATTAAGCCTGTGTTTGGTCCTGAGTTCTTTACCTACCTGCTGGACCATTTGTGCCAGAGCGGAAGAGGGCTGGTGCCCTGCAGGAATGCTGGGTTGCTGGGTTGTCTTCCCCCAGCCCTGCTTTATCTCAGCAAAGGCCCTCAGGCATATCTGGAAGGTTGGACTCTGGCCTGGATCAATTAGAATGCCTTCAGCTGTTAACTGGCCTATGAGAAGTTTGGAAAACTGAGAGGGAAGTCCAAAGGTGGCCTAGGCAAAGGAGTGTCCCAAAGCCTTGAGGGCATCACCAGAAATGAGCCTTGCCACTTCTCAGCTCTGAGAGCTTGTGTTGGTTTCATTGCCGAAGCAGCAACCTCAGTGGATGGGACAGCTCCTGCCCCAGCTCTCGCTGGCTCCCACTGTAATTTTATTTCCCTGTGGAAACTGTGCTGTTGTTATTAGAGGGCAGCACTAACTCTGCTCCATGTGGTTCTGTCTTTGGAGCAGACTCACCATACCAACTCGTGGTAAAGGAAAGAACAGAAGACCTCAGGAAACACTGGCTTTTTAGACCATGCTTGGTCACACAGGACCCCTGCCAAGTTGGCCAAAACTTAGCAGAGTAAAGCAGCTACCATTTTGTTATACTTAAGAAATTGTGGATTTGGGGATGTGACAGGTGTCTTAGTTACTGTTCTGTTGCTGTGAGGAGACACCATGACCAAGGTGACCTATAACAGAAAGCATTTAACGAGGGGGGGGGGCTTACTTACAGACTCAGAGGGTGAGTCCATGATCTTCACAACGGGATGGTGACAGGTGGGTAGGCACAGTTCTGGAGCAGGAGCTGGGAGCTTACCTCTGAGCCACAAGTAGGAGACAAGGAGAGTGAGACTTGCTGTGTGGACTTCTGAAAACTCAAAGCCCACCCCCAGTGACACACCTCCTCCAACAAGGCCGAACCTCGTAATCCCTCCTACTCTGCTGGGAACCGAACACTCAAATATATGAACGTATGGGGTCCATTCTCATTCAAACCATCACAGAAGGGCTCGGGTGAGCCTCTGCTCCACCTGGCTTTGCTCGTGGTCACTGTATATTCAGCTGGCAGATAGTCTACTCTGGAGGGGCTCAACCAGCAGTTCTCAAGTTATGGATCATGGCCCCTTGGGCCAGGACAAATGACCCTTTTACAGGGGTCACCTAAGACCGTCAGAAAACCCAGATATTTACATTTAGATTCATAACAGTAGAGAATGACAGTTATGAGGTAGCAATGACAAATAATTGTATGCTTTTGGGTGACTACAACATGAGGAACTGTAAGAAAAAAAGGCCACAGCATTGGGAAGGCTGAGAACTGCTGGTCTAGACATACCCAGTCCTGGGTATTTCATTACAGCAACAGAAAATAGAACACTGCCCACGGCTACAGATGGGAATGTACAATGTTTCAGGGAAGGGAGGTAGGTATCTTAATTAAGTGACCTATTTACTTGCTAATGTGTATATGAATGTGGGCTTGGTACAAATAAATCAATGAGACAAAAATAATATATGTGTATAACCTATACCCTAGACCTGCAAATCACCGTAACAATGGAATAGCAAATGGCTTAGAAAAAAGTGTATGTGTCCGTGTGATGCTTAATTCTGATGGTCAACTGGATTGGTTCAGAACCACCACGGAAGCGGATCTCTGGGCATACCTTGAGACATTGTCTACTTCAGGTTGAAAATGAAAGATCCACCTGAAATAGGGGCAGCACCACCTGTGGGCTGAGGTCAAAGACCGAATAAAAAGGGGGAAACAAGGCTGGAGAGATGGCTCAGTGGTTAGGAGCACATAGCTCTTCCAGAGGACTGGGGTTCAGTTCCCAGAACTCAGGCAGCTCACAGCTGCCAGTATTTCCAGCTCCCGGGCTCCAACCACCTCTCCTAGATGCTAGGGTACCCAGGGCACACATCTATACACACATTTCAAAACAATCTTACTAATGAAAAGAGTAAACCACCTGGGCACAAGCAGTCATCACTCCTGTTTCCTTACCCGGAAGGTTCCATGACCCTGTGCCCCTCCCCCCGTGACTTCCCAGCCGTGCTGGCTTGTACTCTCAAACTGTGAACCCAAAATGAGTCCTTCCTTCCTCAGCTTGTTCCCTGTTAGACAGCGAGGAAGGCGACTAAGACTGTCTCTAACACAGTTTAGAGGGACAGAGGGTTTCTATCAGCCATCAAGGAGAATAACAGTGCTAGCTTTACAACATTAAAAGTTGTAAACCTTGAAGGGTTATTTGTGTTATGCACATTAAATATGGGATTGCAGGGCAGAAGATAAGTCTTAGAGCTGGGTTGCTGCTCTTGCAGTAGAGCCAGGTTCAGTTACCCCCCCCCCCCCCCCCCCCACGCATGCGAGTGGTAGCTCACGACCATCTGTAACTCCAGTTCTAGGAGTTCC